GTGAGTATTCACTGCAGGTTTTCATTCGATCGTGTGCAGTTCTTTGGTGGGTTATTTGATTTCTGCGCGCCGATTAGGTTTTCCTAAGAACTTTTCGTTCGCTTTTTGACTTCACTCGGGGTATTGATCTTGCTTTCGTTTGTTTTGCGGTGTGAGTTGTTTGTAGTTGTTTTTTTCCCTTTACTAATACCTTGTTCTGACCTTCTGATCCTATGAAAATCTTTACCTATGCGACCTAATACATTATTTCACGATTTTATAATTGTCAGAGTTTCTTTTTCTTTTGTGCGTTGGCTGGAATGGCCTTTTAATTATATATATGATTAAAATTGCTCTTTTGGCTTATTAAACTCCAGTTCGCTTACTTTTCTGTAACATTGGCAGTGTATTCAACTAGCAAGTCCTTTTTTCTCTTGCCTTTCATAACTCATCTTTGGTTAAATTTTGTAATCTTATTTCAGGAAATGGACGAATCCTTCGTCGACTTGATGTCGCACAGCGACTCCGAAGAATTTCCTGATGATATAGATACGGAGTTTTATCGCGCCGATGACTGTGAAGATTCTTTGGAGTACCAAAACCCAGAATTTATTGTAAGCTTATGGTGTTTTTCGTGTTGACGCCCCACAGCTTGCTCCGTTTTAATGCTTGGTTTCGTTTCTTTTAGCCTCTTACTCCTGACATGTTGGTTCAGTATATGTTGGAAACGGTGAACGCCGTTCACCAGATTACTACACTTCCCAAAACTATAATCAGGTTACTTCTTGATTACTTCAAATGGGACAAAGATGCTCTCATTGAACAATACTTTGAGCACAGTAATCCCCACAATTTCGTCAAATCAACCATTCTGCCGTCGTTAGTTGAAAACAACGATGATATACCGTCGTTAGTCCTCCGATCCTACACCGATGCTTATGGTAATGGTGAGTTTCTTTGGTCGCTGCTGTTAGTTTTTGTCTCCACTGACTTGTGATATCACGATTAACAGTTTTATTTTCATAATCTGGAGCTGCAATTGCCAAGTCGTATGTTTAGCTATTTTGGGATGCTCGTCGTCAATCCTCTTTCATCATCTATAGTGTTGCATTATTTTTTTCCCGAATCCTACTGTTCTCCTATTGGCTCAAAA